TACCAAGAACATAGAAAGCAAAATATACACGTTAAAAAAATACATCTCAGGTTAAACAAATTTTTGTGCGCAGTCACACAGCTTTTTTCTATTCTAAATTCAATTGAAATAGCAAGTTTCACAATATAAAAAAGATCGATGATTGATTTTGTCACAAGTGATAAAACGAATGTCCACTATGCTCCAGGACCATTGATTAGTCGACAGCAAGAAATATCAAATGAGCCATCAATGTATCAGTAACAGCTTCACTCGTTCCTATATCAAGTCCTGCGTTCTTGACAACTTTGTGCAATTTGTAAATGAATGATTTAATGTGATTATTTTGACTCAATTGGTCAATATTTAAGCCTCTTCTAGCACAATACGGTTGATATTCGGCAGAATGTATTCTTGTGGAATGTTGACTATATGAATTTAAGTCATAAGTATTGAGCTTGCTAAAAGGAATGTTGATACAATGTACCATTTCTATCAGGAATAACTTCCTTTGTTTCCGTAGCTGAGCAGAAATTTGCTTTCAATGAACGAGCATCTCGAAGATTGAACAATGATGCGGAATTGCTGAGAAAGTCTTCACTACAACTGGTTCGTGTCATGATTTGTACTAAAAAAAGAGGATACAAATAGATTGTGTCACAATTATCTCCAAGATCTCCAAGATTTTACTAATGCATCATTGATGGATGATATAAAATGGATTGGTTGACAACAATCGGAACCCAAATTAGACCTCAATTTATTATCTTGCACTGGCATTTTCTTGATTTATTTGGGTCACGTATACGCATATTCTCCCAAGCAAGCTGTGTTAAAGTCAATGTTCTCTTTTTGAAATTTTCTCCAACATCAGGAAGTTTTTTTTTTACATAGGATTTATGATTTTTGGATAAATTTACATAAAATTTATTGCATATAAAGAATTACACCCTGGATTATGTAAAATCTGTTTTTATGTAAATTTTACAAAACATAACTTTGCATAGAATCTATGAAATGTTGTCAAAATGTATTATCCTTTCGATGCTGAAAAATAAAACGTGCCTCCTTTTTCAGTTGTTGTGCAGTGAAAAACTTAGCCATATGTCATCAAATAATGCTGTGAATGATTTCTACAGAATTATCACTTAGAGGTGAGATAATTAGTAACCATATCAATCATTGGATGATTTGTCTACATCCAATAAAAGACATCAGAAAAAAAATTAAAAGGTGTACACTTATAATTTCTTTGATCAAACCGAAGAAAGAGATCACTCCAGCAACACATAGAAGATTCCTAATCTCTGGATTATTTTCTGATAAATAAAGATTAAAAAAGTTTACATATAAATTTTTTATAAATTAAATATTAAAAAAAATTGCCTGAAAATTTATTTGAATTATTATTTACTTCATGTAAAGCAGTATCTAGATGTTTTTTTTATTTATCTCTTCATTTTTTTTATATTCTTTTTCACATTGACCTTGTAAAATTATTTCTGAGAAAAATGAAGCATGGTCACCTAGAACAGAATCGGTATCTTCAATATTTTCATGACTTTTACCACGACCTCTATAACTTCATGACTTTCGTGACTTCCATGAATTCCATGACCTCCATGGCTTCCATGACTCCCACGACTTCTGCGATTTCCTTGATTTTGTTTCATTATATAGTAAATAATATATTAAAGGAGAATTTTAGTTTAAAAATATAATATTAAAGTATATTAATTCGTGAAACATCTGCAAAATTTTGCAGATCACTAATTAAAATTTTCTAGACTCCAACTTTCACCCACCCTTTATGTTTGATATAAACTAAAATTGTACTTTTAACACATGATATGGATCTCAAAGTTTAAATATAAGGGACTTTCTTAAATATTTTATGTTTATATGTAGGAATCGCTGGATTCCTGCCTAAAATTACTATATAAAATTTAAAGGTTTGAGTAA